TAAGGAGAACAAACTGTTTTATAAGTAATCATATGGAGAACAACGTTCCTAACAGATAACCATCTTGAGAACAACATATGTCATAGATTACTATATGGAGAACAGTAATATAGCCATAAGGAGAACAAGCTGTTGTATAAGTAATCATATGGAGAACAACGTTCCTAACAGATAACCATATGGAGAACAACATATGTCATAGATCTATATGGAGAACAATAATATAACCATAAGGAGAACAAACTGTTTTATAAGTAATCATATGGAGAACAACGTTCCTAACAGATAACCATATGGAGAACAACGTTCCTAACATATAACCATCTGGAGGACAACATATGTCATAGATCTATATGGAGAACAACATTGCTAACAGAAAACCGTATGGAGAACAAACATTTCTAACAGAGAACCATATGGAGAACAAACATTTCTAACAGAGAACCACATGGAGAACAACATTTCTGACAGAGAACCATATGAAGAACAACATTTCTAACAGAGAACCATAAGGAGAACAAACATTTCTGACAGAGAACCATATGGAGAACAACATTTCTAACAGAAAACTATAAAGGAGAGCAACATTTCTAACAGAGAACCATAAGGAGAACAAACATTTCTGACAGAGAACCATATGAAGAACAACATTTCTAACAGAGAACCATATGGAGAACAACATTTCTAACAGAGAATCATATGGAGAACAACATTTCTAACAGAGAACCATAAGGAGAACAACATTTCTAACAAAGAACCATATGAAGAACAACATTTCTAACAGAGAATCATATGGAGAAACAACATTTCTAAAACAAGAGTTTGAGTTTCAGGTTTTTCCTTTCTATATAGCATAAGTAAAGTTTAAAGCTGTCGATTCCAATGTCATATGATATTTACCAAATATCATTTTTCCTTATTGTGCGATTCTCTCTATACTTTCTCCTTCCTTCCCCAAAGAAAAGGAATTTAAGAATTTGGGCCTTAACATCGGCGATGTATGTAGCGTAAAGTGTTTACAACGAACGTAACGCAGTTAGTTCAGTGGTATTAAGTTTGAGGGCTTGTAATGTTCAAACTCGTGGCTCTATCCCTGCCGTTGGCACGGAGTAGCAGATGGTTTATTGTTGAGCTTAGAGAGAAACAAATGTATAATCCTCAGAATTGTTCATCAACGTTTTTTATACAATTAAACGCTAAAATAATTTATTCAAAACAGTAACTAGCCCTAAAATGACTATATGTTTCGGTGTTCTTACTCCGCCATCTGCAGGAGTAAGAATTGAAATTTGGTCAAGACTTATATAACAGATTGGATTTTTTTTGTTACACACTGCTACACTCTAATGTGCTGAGGCACACACATTGGAAAATATTTGTCTTCGTAACCAAGATATTGTCTACTGAGACAGTGAATATATCCACAAGTTTCCAGCTCTTTAAACAGCTCGTGGTTAAGTGGAATTAATAGCTGGAAAACCTTGCAGGTTATGAATAAAAACCTTTATATTCCAATGTGGTTCTTCAGCCTGTAAGGTTTCTTATTTACATCAATACGTACCT